TTTTTTTTAAATACATTAAATAGATAGATAGATTAAATCTCTACTGATCCCGTCCCGCAGCGGGATCACAGGCCCCAACTATACAGTAAATGCATTTATATCCACATCTTCTTGTTTTGTTTTGCTTTAGTAAATACACGTATCCTGTGTTACATAGTTTAACAACTGTCTCCGAAAAAAGTGATAATTTAATAAAAGCAGACACAATGATTGTCTTGTGTTCTGTAAGAATCAACTACATACTTCATCAGTAGTACAACAGACACACTGTCCTGACTTATCTCAGCTTCATGGTGATCCAACACTGGATGGGATGAATGCTTCAAGCTCCTGCTGGTCATGTGTGTTTACTGTTGGAAGCTCCTTCAATGTCAGTTCATCTCAACAGAAGTCAGACTGTGATCCCAGATTAAAATATTCCTGCAGAGTAAAACACAATATACCAGTAATATACTTCTATGTATCAGAAGTGAATTATCTATTCCTGAATGTGACTGCTGCTCTGCTTTGAAACTCTAGAGGGCAGACAAAGACAGCTTTAACTTGATGATGGCTATCAGTTATTTTCTCTTATTCATCATCTGTTGCAAACGTTTCTGCCATAAACCTCATTTCACATTCAGATGTGCACCACTGTTCCACTGCTTACTGCTTGATGAACATGATTTAGATCAAATTAATCAGATGGCTTCAATCATAAAAGTAAATTGGAGTGTAGCTGCTAAAGAAGTCCTTCATTCAAACCATTAAATAAAGTTTGAGATGTTCAGACATAGAAGGACACTTTCTGCTGAGTAGAAAGCGTCTATCAAAAATGAAAAGTTAAATAATGAAAGTTTACGCTACTCTGATGTCATGGAGGAAACTAATGTTTTTAGCTGTCGACTTGTTTTAGTGATGCTGAATCTCATGTTGTGCTGTTTATAGAGCCAGCCTCTGATTTGACTGATGCAGGAGGAGATTCCTGGAAGCATTTTCATGTGGATTAAGTTCATTTAAAGGAAATGTACAGACTTGAAAACATATTAGTCACACTGTCAACATGGCTCTCAGACAGCTCACACTGTTGATGGTTGCTGTGTTTGTTTGGAGCGCTGCTGAAGGTTGGAGCATAACTGTGGAGATGGGTGTAATTGGTGGGAGAGGGCAGGGGAGAGAGGTGTGGGGCAGAGCTCAGGAGATTAGTGTCAGGTGAGTTGATGGGTCCAGGTGCTGCTGCTCTGGCTAATTGTGGATATGCACACAGTAGGGTGCTGGCGGCAGAGGAGAGAAAGGAGGCCAAGGAGGAGGATCTCTGGCTGCGTTGGTGAGACAGAAGACGCCGACGGGAGAGCGCGTGCTGCAGGAGCCGGGCCGCTGCAGACACGCGGCCGCTTTGTGTTGTTTCTATTGTTTTGTGCCGGGTTTGCGCCGTACGGCCAATAAAGACTGTGGACCGGCAGCGATTCGTGTGTCTGTGCTGGGGGGGAAACCCACGGAGGTAGCGAGACGGCTACAATAACAGTCTGAACCTGCAGTTAAAAGACCTGGAGAGTCCCACTGACTGACCTGTACAACATCTGGAATATCATTTAGTAGCTACTGGATGCACTGGGTCAGACAGGCTCCTGGAAAAGGACTGGAGTGGATCGCTATTATTGAAGATAACAGTAATAGAATCTACTACTCTCAGTCAGTCCAAGGCAGGTTCACCATCTCCAGAGACAACAGCAAAGAGCAGCTGTTTCTGCAGATGAACAGGCTGAAGACTGGAAGACTGAAGATTCTGCTGTTTATTATTGTGCTCGACACCCACAGTGACTGAAGTTGGTTGAACAGCTGCACAAAAACCTACTGACTCCTACATTCACAGGCCCCAGCTATACAGTAAATGCATTTGTCATATTTTTTGGTTGTTTTGCTTTAATTAACACATATTTTTCCTCTGTATTTCCTGAGAAATAATAGTTACCAAACATATTTTAAGCACATATTGTAAATAATATCTTCATGTCTTAGTCAGTAAATCTGTTTGTCAGGTTGCTGCATCTTGACCTGAACGCACTATTTAGGGAAGAGATTTATAAAATGCAGTCTCTAGTATAGTGATGTCCACATTTATTGTTGTTCATCTACGTGTTAATATTAAAATATATACATTTGTTGTTTTAATGCTGCAACATGTTTTATGCAATTAAAAAATATCCTCCCTCCTTGCAGAAAAATGTACCTGAAGCTAATAAAATTCTATTAACTCTAAACCACACTAGATGATGTTTAATTGGATTTTTTTTTTTTTTTGAAAACCACATCCGAAAATGAAAGTGTTCTAATTATTGCAAAAAATATATATGTGAAAGCATGAACGACCATAGTTTTATTGGAACAAAACAATCCTTTTTTTCTTTTTTTTATGTTATGTGATCGTTTCTGGTTTCATGTGTTAACTTGAATCTGGGGGCTGCAAGGTGGCGCAGTTGGTAGCACTGTTGCCTCGCAGCAAGAAGGTTGCCGGTTCGCGTCCCGGTGGGGGCATCTTTCTGCGTGGAGTTTGCTTCCAAAAAGTCCAAAGAATGTCCAAAAAGTTGAGGTTAATTGGTGATTCTAAATTGTCCGTAGGTGTGAATGTGAGTGTGCTTGGTTGTCTGTGTCTGTGTCTAAGTGTGGCCCTAAGTGTGGACTGGTGACCTGTCCAGAGTGTCCCCTGCCTTCGCCCTAAGTCGGCTGGGATAGGCTCCAGCCCCCCCGCGACGATGGATGGAACTTGAATCTGTCGTTTTTCCTGTTGCAGGTGTACTTTAACCTACTATTTACTCCTTAGATATTATTGGATATTCTCATAAAAAACAAGATGTAGAATAAGTGTGAAGTAAATAATTCGGACGTAAACGAAAATATTGACGTAAATTTCAAACGCCTACAAATTACACTTGGTGGATGGTTCAGTCCAGCTGTCTCCATGACAACCGCCCCACCGTCAACATACCGGTGGTTCACTTCACTTGGAAACTGAGATTTCTGAAGTTCACCTCGTCGCTATTTTAGCTATTTTAGCAGCGACCTCGACAGCAGGGTCACTTGCGCTTGAATCTAAATTAAGGTACGCCATTATTGCTTTCTCCTGTTGTTTCCAGAGTTATAGAAGCAAACGCTGTGTACTTTTGTAGTTTGACGAACACATATTCTACAAGCTAAAGCTAACAACGTCATTGAAGTTTAATAGCCTGTGTTTTGCAGTCTAGTATCTAGTATTATTTGCCAGCAGAAAAAAAAAAAAAAAAAACCAAAAAAACCGCAAACTGTCGTGTTTGTAGAAAGAGTTTTAAATACTGTAACGTCCGGCTGGACGAAAAAATGAGACAGGAGACGTTGTTAACGTTCCGTCGTTTTAGCGGCTCCACAAAATAGAACAGGGTTACTGTCAGCCGTGACCACGCCAAAACAACAACACAGAACAAACACGAGCCAGCGACGTCTCAACTGTTAGGTCGCATTTACAGACACACACACGCGCACACACACACTCACACACACACACACTCTAACTTCAGTAACAGCAAACGATCGTCCTGACTAAACAACAGTGCGACGTAAACCGCAGGGCGCTGCAACACGTTACAGGTTAAATTTACTAAAGAGTAGCTAAACCCAGGCGCCGTCGTTAACACTTCAAGTATGTTGTTTTGCTTCAAGATGGAGGATGAAGATCGGCCTGGTTTCAGGGTACCGGTGTCTCATCCTCGCAAACCTGCACAACCCAAACCTTCACGTCGAAGTCAGAGATACCTACCCCTCACTCCTCCAGTTGAAAAATGCTGTAAGAATAAACAGACGTTCGTCTACTCAGAGCTCATCAGTTCCTTTGACTTCCTGGTAAAGGCACATTTTCTAAACTCATTCATTTGATCCCATGGTGCAATATACTAGGTTGTGCTGTGATTTATATATATTTATGGTTTAGTCTTGTGCAGGGAGACAGCAGACGCAGCAGAGGTCACAGTCCATCCTGTCATCGCCACAAGGTGAGCAATACTGTATTACATGACACTTTTAGGCATACAGGCACATTTGAAGTCATTATTTCAGACATATCAGCTCT